GAGGGGAGGGTGGATGATGGGTATTGAGGAGGGCACCTGTTGGGATGAGCACTGGGTGTTATATGGAAATCAATTTGAGAATAAATTTCATATTTAAAAAAATAAATACAATGATTATTATTGGACTAAAAAAAAAGATTTAATGAGATTAAGTCTTATAAAAATTTTAAAGGCTACACAAAGCACCTACCTGCTCAATTCATTTTAGTTTCCCCTCCTTTTTAAGGAACGATTTAGATATTACAGCCTGGAAAATTTCAATCCTCTGTTTGCTAAGCAAGAGACTCCTTCCTGGTATGTGTTAGAATTTAAGTTCCTTAGAAACTTTCCATTATCAGTCAACAAGTGTTTCTCTAAGAACTGATGAAACCAATGCCTCATTAATATTTACTGGCCTAAAATAAACGGCTTTTATGAATATACACAAACTGCTCTTAGGTACTTATTACAGATGGAGTGGATCTTAATTCAGTTGAGTTGGCTTTACTTGGAATTAAATCATCAGCAGACTGGGGAAGTCAGGGGAGGGAGCGAGTATGTCCCTTGAGATCTCATTAGTAAGTTTTCACTATCAGAGCAAAATGGAGGGAAGAGTTTAATGAGGATTTAATGTCACATCACTAAATCTAGTTAGAGCCCAAAGCATTGTAACAGAAAAACAGTTCTCAGTAACAGATCTCTAAGAGACAGATCTTTAAGTCAGCTGTGGTATTACCATTCTCAATCCCTAAAAAGAACTCCTCTGAATCACCACAGAAGGGCCGCCCGTGTTCCTGAGGACATTTATGGAAACACATTAAACTGCAGAATGGTGCACCAAACATGGGTGATTCATTCATAGGAAATCTGCCAAAACAGAACTGAGAAGCAGAGCTAGGTCTCACTGCACGCTCCCTGAAAACTGTAACACCTCTCTGGAATGTCCTCTGGAACCAAGCAGCTTCCAAGAACACAGAGCAACCTCACCTACCTCCCAACACTCTTGCTTTTCTTCAGGGAGTGTTTGGGAGACAGCAGTGGACAGCAGCCCCTTTTCTTGTAAAAAGCACTGAACGGAATACAAGTAGTCACCTACTGGGACAGTGAGCTGACACCTAACGCTCTCTGCCTACTGCTGCTGCCTCCCAGGGCAGAGACACTGCCTGGCTCCTCCTGGCCCACCCTCCTATTGATGCTTGTTATGGTCCTCACCCTTCCCTGACACAGCTGTCTGCAGTGCCCTGGTGCCACCCGGTAGAGAGACAGACTCCTGGTAGATACTCATAGTTGTGCCCTCCACAGTCTAGCCATCCTGTATTGCCATCCAGGACTGAGCTGCAAGAAAGAGCCCATGCTGTCCAGTGTCCAAATGGCAATCCCCCATTTATCCTTTAACCTCCACAGATACCACCGACCTTGTAAAGTCTTCCCAGCTATAATTAGTAACCATAATTATTAAGCATCCTGGGTAAAGGATACTAGAGGAGCAACACTGGCACCATCCACAGACTGCACTGAATGTAATTATTTCTGGGCTACCTTTAGAACCAGAGTCATAGTCTGTTTATTTCTGTATTGTTACTACTAAGCTCAGTGCCTGGCACACAGGAAGTACCCAGTGAAAATTTCTGCAAAATTGACTGCAAAAGAAAAGATTCCAACTAGCTTTTATAAGTAATTTAATTATAATTTACAAGTAATTTAATAACTTAATAATGATAATGACAAGAATAGCATGCGGTAACACTTAGTGAGCATTTTACTATATATCAGGCACTGTGCTGAACCCATCACAAGCAGTAGTTAATTCCCAGAACATCTTATGAATGAGATGCTACATAGCCCTCATTTTACAGAGAAGAAATCAAGGACCAGAGAGCTCAAGCCCTTAGAGAATGGGTATCCACAGTGCTGTCCAGAACTTTCTGTGATGACGATGTTCTACACCTGTGCTATCCAATACAGTTGCTACATCCACAAGCAGCTGCTGAGTGTTTGAAATGTATCTGGCGCAACTGAGAAACAGAATTCTGCATTTTGCTCCATTTTAATTAGTTTAATAGAATAGTCACATGTGCCTAGTGGCTATTGTCTTTGACAACAGACTAAGCTATCTCATGTAAAATGAGATGAAGTAAATAATTCCAAACATCCTTTCCTGGTCCATAAGGCTGTACCTTTGGCTTCACTGTGTGGAAGGAAGTACAGACAAGGAAATCAAGAGAATATGGAGACACAATCATTTCTCTGTGGACATGTCTATGAAGTTACCAATGTGGATGCATTCAACACACATTTCCTGAGAATGGTGCTAGACACTGCTGAGGCTACCCAAGACAGGCAGGAGCGCTCTTGGGGAACAGGCACATGGGTGCGAGGAACGGGTGCTATCTTCCAGGGCAGAAAGGACGCTTCTGTGAACAGTATAAACATAAGCAAACAAAGAGGGACTGAACAACAGGTGAACACAGCATAGAGGAACTTTAAATCAGAGGAAAAATTTATGATGCACTTAAAAAAATTTTTTTTAATGTTTATTTTTGAGAGAGAGCAAAACAGAGTGTGAGCAGGGGAGGGCAGAGAGAGAGAGTGAGGGAGACCCAGAATCCGAAGCAGGCTCCAGGCTCTGAGCTGTCATCACAGAGCCTGACACAGGGCTTGAACTCACAGACTGCTAGATCATGACCTGAGCTGAAGTTGGATGCTTGACTGACTGAGCCACCCAGGTGCCCCAGATGCAAGTTTTAGTGAGTCACTTTTAAGCCAACTTTTGGGAATGCAGCTATTGCATTAAGAGAACATGTATTAGTAATCCTACAGAAGGAGATATCTAGAATCCATTTATGTAATTAGCAGTCATTACATGACTTAGAACATGAATCATAGCTTATTAAAAGCTGGCGAAACTCCACAAATATACTGAAAACCACTGAACTGTTCTATCTATCTATCTATCTATCTATCTATCTATCTATCTATCTAGAACATGGAGGAAGGGAGAGAGAATCCCAAGCAGGCTTGTTAGTGATGTCAGCGCAGAGCCTGATGTGGGGGCTTGATCCCACAAACTGCAAGACCATGACCTGAATCAAGATCAAGAGTCAGGGGCTTAGCCAACTGAGCTACCCAGGCACCCCTGAACTGTACACTTTAAATGGGTGAATGGTATGGTATATAAACAGTATCTCATGATATAGGGAAGTCCCCCACCCCCAAAATCTTAGACTTGATGAAAGGAAGGCTAAGGAGTGAAACTTAGGCAGGCCTACTTTGGAAGCTGACTATGGTCATTTCAAGACCGATTTATAACATTCAGTTACTGAATACTCACTTGCTGAATTACAGACAGAATTGCATTTATAGGTGGGCTGCATTTACAGGTTGCCCAGGTCCTGAGACCAAGAGCTGAAAAAATAACATGCAGGAAACATACCTCTTCTAGGCTAAGTTGCAAATACTCCAAGATCCGATATGGATTTCTTCTGCATATTAATCTCTTTTTTGGTGCCAACTGAAGACAGAAGAAAGAAAATACATAGAGAACAAATGGAAGGACTACATGTTACATAGAGCAGATTGCATTTTAAAACAAACATGCTTCTTATAAATTTCCGAATTCACATTTATTGGCTTAATACTGCTAAAAATATAGATTTTTATTATTATTATGTAGAAAAATAAGTTTTAGGTTTTCTACGACTAACATTTTCATTTATTTCTTTTTTCCCCAAGAATTTTTCCCGCAATTGTGATCCTTTTGTTGGTCTGTTTTATGTCCTTCTTTTCACCGACCTGTACCTCACAAGTGTGTGCCTAGGTTCTTAATTAGACTTCACAATCTCATTCTGAAGCGTAGATAGCACTTCTTCAAATGGTGTTTCACGTACTACTTAGCCATTAGATTTTCTCATTTTTAGCTATTATAGACCATTTCAGGGCACCTGTCTCTGACTGTGCATCCATCATTGAAGTGGCTCTGGGTCTGCTTCCCAGTGCTTCTCCTATGCTGGCTGACTTCCATACCCGAGACCCTCTGCTACAGCCAGACTCAAGACTACATGTACTTACCACAACACTTCTTTTTATCCCACCAAAGGGAAAGAATATTATTGCAGCTGCTTTAATGTATACATTTAAAAAAAAATAAGTTATTCACAGACTTGAAGTTTTAGTAGAAACAGCCCTCGTAACTACTGAGCCACCAGGGCTGGGACGCAGTGCCTGCGAATTCCGAGTGTCTCACCACCTCTCACATGCCCTGAGTACTTAATATGGGCCTGCTACCAGTTCCGAGTAAGGGACACCCTGGTCATCCCACATCTGCTATGGGCCAGACATAGATGGTTCTGGAGGAAGTGAATGATTTTCTTCTTGAACAATGCAGGGCTGAGGGTGCTGACGTCCTGTAATAGAAAAGCTGTGTATCACTTTTGACTCCCCAAAACCTAACTACTAATAACCTACTGTTGAATGGAAACCTTACCAATAACATCCACAGCTCATTAAGGCATATTTAAGTATTATATGCTGTATCCGTACAATAAAGAAAGCTAGAGAAAATAAAATATTAAGAAAATCATATACAAAATACATTTATTGTACTGTACATAAAAAAAAATCCATGTATAAGTGGATCCATACAGTTTGAACCCATGTTGTCAAAGGCCAGTTATACTCACTTCCTCACGTGGGGCACATTCTTTCTCGCTCACATGATACACATCTTCCTCTACCAGCACATACTCATCACTGGGCCCTCTCTCTCTGGCACAGATGAGATCCACTTGGGGACTCCTGTCCCCAGGCTGAGTGTCACGCTGGGGGAGAATATCTTTGCTGCAATGAACGTGGGGTGGGGGGCAGTGCTGCAGTGTGGCAACCTCTACCAAGTGTTCATCCAAGCCATCTGGAGTCAGTGGGTCAGGCCCTGAGCTCTCTTGTAGGTGGTCTGATTGCTCGTTAGGACCCTCCAGGTCTAGGGACTTTTCCGAGCCCCCATTCATCACAGAAAGTTCCTCTCTATCTGCAATACCTTCCATTTTGGGAATGGTTTCAGAATTCAGCTCATCATGCCATTGAAATTCTTCATTCCTTTTTATACCAGGATGCTCGAGTGGTTTTGTGTAATCCTTGAGGATTCTGTGCACTGTACTCTCATCCTGCCCCTGTCTTTGCATGAGCTTTGTGGCCCATTCTATACTACGCTGGTACCTGCAAAAGGGAAATAACGTCAGTAACACTTGAATTTTTTTTTTTTAATTTATTGTCAAGTTGGCTAATATACAGAATATACAATGTGCACTTGGTTTTGGGGGTAGATTCTCATGATTCATTGTTTAAATACAACACCCAGTACTCATCCCAACAAATGCCCTCCTCAATGCCCATCTCCCATTTTCCCCTCTCCCCTGCACCCACCCCACTCATCAA